ACAAAATATTTGGCAATATGATAGTCATTAAGTGCTCACCAAACCTGAGTCTCCACCTCTAGATACAGGAAAGTGATTATTCTTCTTGGCTGCTTTTGTTTCTAGTTTGGGCCATATGATTAGATCTGACCAATGAGTTGTGAGCAGAAGTAAAGTGAGTCTCACAATTCAAAGTATTTTATTACAGGGACCTCCAGAGATCTCTTTCTTTTTTGCCATGGTGAAAGGCAATGTTTGCAAAGTTAGCTGCTTCAACAGCCTGAATACAGGAGGAGGAGACACTGAACAGAACCCCAACGTCTTCCACAATAACCATGCAGCCTAAGTGAGACAGAAATCCACATTATATAAAGTCGCTAGATTTGGAAGTTATTTTTTTATTTATTTTATTTATTTACTTATTCATTTATTTTTGAGAAGAAGTCTCACTTTGTCGTTCAAGCTGGAGTGCAGTGGTGCGATCTTGGCTCACTGCAATCTCCAACTCCCAGGTTCAGGCCATTCTCCTGCCTCAGCCTCCTGAGAAGCTGGGATTACAGTCACCCGCCACCATGGCTAACTAATTTTTATATTTTTACAAAATACAAATAGAGACAGGGTTTCGCCATCTTGGCCAGGCTGGTCTCAAACTCCTGACCTCAAGCGATACCCCTGCCTCGGCCTCCCAAAGTGCTGGGACTACAGGCTTGAGCCACCGCACCCAGCGGTATTTTTTTATCACTTAGCCAAGTTTACCCTGACTCATCCACTTAGGCATTTTTCCTTCCTTTAATGGTACCAGGTCTTTTGTATTGTTCATTACATTGAATCTACTCTCGCATTAACTTTTCTAGAGAGTAATCTTGTAAATATTTAGAATTAGAATTCACTGTGTAAAGCCGTTGGAGAACCCATGACAAATCCTTACATTTATACATTTATATACCATAATCTGGAGAGAAAGTTCCTGAAGTAAGTTCTTTAAAGAAATAAGTTCTTTAACTTTTTTCTAGAATGGCATTTTAAATTTTTTGGACTATCCCAAGGAAGGTATTCAGAAAGTTACTCATTAGAGAAAAATTGGAAAAATACTATAAAGTGGTTTGAAAAAATAGAATAAATGTGAACACTTAACAAATTGTTCCAAATTTACTTTGGTTTCTTTTAACAAACCTAAGCAAATCCCAATTTGCTCTCGGCATTTGATGTTTGAAGAGTTCATACATCCTGTCCTTTCCCTTCCAGACTGAAATACCCCAGAAGTACATAAAAACAATAGAACCGTGGTATATCTAACTATATCTAATCCATTAGGTAACATCTTTGGTCATTCAGGAAATGCTCAGCATCTTAATAAATACAGCCATATTTTATTACGAAAATTGAAATCTCCATGAACTATATGAAGGTCTGCATTAATGCTAACATTAAATATCAGGACTCATGAAGTATTACAAAACTCCCAAGTATGAATATCCTCTTTTGTGACAAAGTTCCTTTTTGATGGGATATCTCTCAATAAAGACATTGATACTATTCATGAGCATTTCAAGAAACATGACCACATTTTAAGTTCAGATTAAGCACTAAATATTGTTTCTATTTTCCTCTTTTGTATCTCTTATGGAATGCTGCAGCCTAGACTTAAAGCAAGCAAGGTTAGACTGCCTTAAATGTTTTAATTTCATTACACCAAATTGATACAAACAATTGAAAAATGGCTCAAATTAATTTTAAATCGAATATATTTTCCCAAAAGATTGTAGGATTTGAACTTAGAAAGGATCCAAATCCAGATCCTATCTCTGCCATTTATGAGCTATGTCATTTTAGGCAAGCTGCTTATCTTCTCAGTGCCTTATTTTCCTCTTTTACAAAATTTCATCACTACAGTATCATTTTTATAGTACTGTTGTGAGGACTGGATGTGATAAGACGTGTCAGGCATTAAAAGTAGTCCCTTGGTTCAAACAAGCATTAAAAACACATGTTTCTATTATAATTGCTTTAAAATAAAATAACCGAACCATGGATGCATTCTTAAATACATGCAGTTGCTTAAATTATTTTGGAAGAGGAATATAGAAATGTGTCACTTTTCACACATAGAGCTACAATTTTCCAAATATATGTCACTTGTTTCACATGTATCTAGAACTAAATAATCCCTACCATTTCTTCCTTACAGTGCTACAAGTAAAAAACATATTTCATGCGTTTTAAATTAATTAAGTGTAAAGTAACTGGCCGGGCGTGGTGGCTCACGCCTGTAATCCCAGCACTTTGGGAGGCGATGTCAGTGGATCATCTGAGGTCAGGAGTTCAAGACCAATCAGGCCAACATGGTGAAACCACATCTCTACTAAAAATATAAAGATTAGCCTGGCAAGGTAGCACACACTTGTGGTCCCAGCTACTCAGGAGGCTGAGTCACAAGAATCATTTGAACCAGGGAGGGGAGGTTGTAGTGAGCCAAGATTGTACCACTGCACTCCAGCCTGGGTGACAGAGCGAGGCTCTGCCTTAAAAAACTAAAAATGAAAATGAAAAAATAAATAAACTGTTAAGTAACTGAAAGATGACACATAACTTGTGAAATCCAAAGGAAGATGGTAAGATCGTGAAGTAGTTTTTGGTAGTTCTCTTTAGGACATTCAAAAGTTTCAGTATTTAATTCAGTAATTTTCATCTGTAAATCCAATGAACATGTACAATATTTTAAGTTTCTGTTTCAACGCTGATAGACTGTACACCACCATGGCAGTGGTGTCTTCCTGCCATCTAGTGGAAAAACTATACTACTACAGGCACACTTTTAAAAACTTAAATATAAGGCCCTCAAACAAACAAAACCACTTCTTTTCTTTCTTAAGTTTTAAATCTTAAAAGTGGACCTGAGGGCTGGGCGCGGTGGCCCAAGCTTGTAATCCCAGCACTCTGGGAAGCTAAGGCGGGTGGATCACTTCAGGTCAGGAGTTCAAAACCAGCCTGGTCAACATGGTGAAACCCCATCTCTACTAAAAATATAAAAATTAGCCGGGCATGGTGGTGGGTGCCTGTAATCCCAGCTACTCAGGAGGCTGAGGCAGGAGAATTGCTTGAACCTGGGAGGTGGAGGTTGCAGTGAACCAAGATCGCACCAGTGCACTCCAGCCTGGGCGACAGAGCAAGACTCTGTCTCAAAAACAAACAAACAAACAAACAAACAAACAAACAAAAAAAAAAACCCAAACCTGAGAAGAGTGACTTTGTGATATTATAAGCACTTTTTACAATTTATTTATGTATGTATGTATGTATTTATTTATTTATTTTATTGAGACCAGGTCTCACTCTGTTGCCCAGGCTGAAGTGCAGGGTCGCAATAACTCACTGCAGCCTCCAACTCCTGGACCCAAGTGATCCTCCCACATCAGCCTTCTGAGTAGCTGGGACTACAGGTGTAAGCCACCACTTCTAGCTAATTATTAAATTTTTTTTTAGAGATGAGTTCTCGATACTTTGCCTAGGCTGGTCTCAAACTAGAATTATTTAAATTAAATGCAGTATGAAAAACACGAGATATGACAAAATATGTAAAAGGCACAACTTTCAAAGTTGAATAGTGTACTGCTATTAATATAAATACCTCTCCATGAAGAAATAGTGAAAATGTTGTGATGATAAATGTTTTGTAATACTTCATTAGTCCTAACTTTTAATGGTGCATCAACTGGAAATCTTTTTTAACAAATTTTCATACTTAGATCAAAAATATCCATTGCAACAATAATAACATAACAGCCAATGCACAAAAGAACAAAATGAAGCATGAAATACATATTTCCATATGTACAAATGTAAACACACACTCACATAGTCATTTTTTAGTGTAATGGAAACAAGATGCCTATTATCATTTGCTATTTTGTGGTTACAAATTTGCCCAGGATTAAGAAATGGCCACACCAGAAAAAAATTATTAAAACCTCTAACATCAAGCACAGTGATTTTGCTATCACACAATGTTACCTTACTAACTTAAGGCTTCTTCACAAAATAATTATCAGATCTCAATTACCTAATATTTTCATTTGAAACTCAATTACATAAAATAATAGAGATATCATAAGTAATTAATTTCTGAGCATTTTTCACATATATACATGGATAGGTAGGTAGAAAGATTATTTTAAAGGAACATTTTTAGACAATAGATGTTAAATACTCTGCTGAAAAAGGACACATCTGTGAGAAGTTGAGCAAAGTGATCTCCAAAAGGCAATCACACTCTAATACATGTGAAACCTGAGGCCACATGGACCCAAAGCTGCAGTTCACCCCTCATCTCTTCCCATCCCAGAGTCTGTCTCATACTATGAGGGAGCTTCATACTAACGCCTCTGTGACACCCTAGTTCACACATAAAAACTCAGACCATGCCTCTCCCCATACACCCCACCTCCACCCTCATACTAAAAGCAGGTTCTACAATTTGGACCAGGAATAGGGTATCTTGATTACCCCCAATGTATGCAGGGATTGGATGGGCATTTCACATTGGTCCTCATAAGCTTCACACCAACTCCTCACCCTTTGTGGAAGGGCACTGCAGGAGGACAGTGAGGTTAGGGTCTACTAGGGACTAAGAGTGGTACCGGAGTCAGTGTGATTTACAAATGGGTATTTTCTAGAGGACTATATGGTGGAGAGAGGATGCGAAATAATGGTGTCAAAGGAGATCCTCATGTTCAGCATTTTTCCTAGTTTCTGTATTCAAGGGTCTTGTTCTAGAATAAAGAATGTCAAACTTTCCATGGAAGCAAGGAAGACAGGAACTAAACACAGTTGTCATGGTGAACTCCATCCTGACCTAGACGAAAAATTTGTTTCTCTGACTTGTAATGTCAACTATGGAAACAAATTTTCCCTTCAAATATGAGGTGTTTATCCTGTAGTCTGTGTTCATTCTGCAAGAGGCATGAACATACCAGATACAGACAGTATTATTCTATTAGAGACAGATGTATGTATATACTTACCAAACTGTTCATTTTTGAAGATGAAGAACCTGCTCTTTGCTTTCTTAAACTATTAACTTCTTCTATATTTCCATCTTTTGGTTTCAAAATCATTCTGCTACTCCCTGCAGTACCTTCTGACGAGGATCGCAGTCTCCTCTCTATAAATCTTCCTTCACGAAATGGACTGAGACTACTGGCAAGAACTATGGAAAGGAAAATAAATAAAAATGAACGTAAATATTTAAATGTACTTTTTACAAATGTCCCACTGAGAGATTGCGGAAAACTCTTAGTGTTATTCAAAGCTTCTCTATCATGAGAAAACTTTTACATATATAGTATCAGTTTAGTTCACTTAATCATGTTATCTCTTTGAAGCCCAAAAATTCTGGAGTCATCCTTGGTTGCTTCATAGCTCACGTTAATCACATAAACAAACCCTGTCCTTATTTCCTTCAAACTGTATACAGAATCTGATTCCTTCTACCTCTCTTTCTAAGACCCTGGACCAAATCCAATCTATGCTTGTTTGGTTACTGCAATATTTGCTACAATTCTCCTGCCTCTGCCTACTCCCATCTGCCTCTCCACCCCCAACACAAACTACATTCCACATGGTAGCCAGAATCATATACTTAAAACATAAATGAGAGCCATCACCACCACTCTTCTAGATAAAAAGTGATGTTTTCCAAATGGCATAACATATTCTTCATAATACGACCTATATGACTGCTCTTTCTGTCCACAAACCAGGGACAGGAGGGGCACCCTGTTCACCTGCTCACCTCTGTAACCTCATGTCCTGCTCTCCCCTCTATCACTCTGCTTATGCTACACTGGACACCTGCTGCTCTGGTACATCACCAGCATGCTCCAGCCCCACACAGCCTTTGACCCACAACCTTGCACTAATATATTTCTCTCAAATATCTATATGACATATTCTTTAAGTTCCTTCAAACCTTTACCAATATGTTACCTTGGGTATCATCCCACTCACATTTAAAAATGCAAACTGTAATCCCACCTCTGCTTCCTAAGCCTTTATTCTGCTTTAAACTTACCCTCAGCAGTTACCACCATCTGATATAAATAGCATGTTAACTGAGTATCCCCGGTAGAAAGTAAGCCTCAGGAAGGCAGGGATCTAGGCCTATTTTGTGTACTGCTACATACCTAGTGCCTAATATAGTGTTAAAACCATAAATATTTGCTGAATGAATGAATGAGTAAATGAATAAATTGTTCTAATTAGGCTCATCTACTAGTTTAAAGACTGTCCAGAATCTATTAGTCCAATACATAGCAGTTCTTTTAAAATAACTTTTTAAGCCAATGAATACAAGTTAAATTGTCAGATAACTCAACATTTTATTGTTAGTTCTGATATGATTGTACACCTAATACACTTAGATGTGTATCAAGTACTGGCTTAAATGTTTCATACAAAATACAAACTAAATTTAGCATTATGAAGGTTAGTGTCTACAGCTAATGTTTATTGGATAAAATGCATTTACTTAGCTGTTTTTAAAACTTTAAACTTCAAAATTATAAAATCCTTATAAATAGAACACAAATATTTTCACAAACTAAAGGATAGTATACTGTCTTGTTGACATTACCAGCTTATTTATCCAAGAATAGCCAACACATTATCAAATCAGCAAAATTAATGTGTTATTCTGTTACAGTTAGGATCTGAATCAACATATTAATAGTCTCCAAGATAATTGGTCATTCTCTAATTTCCAGAGAGAGAAACATACACAGTATTCAATTAGGCCTTGAGGAGAGTCATCATTACTAAATAAGAATTAGATATGTCAGGATAATTACATTTCTATCCCTTTTTGATATAATTTAAAAACTTCCTGACTTTTAATATCAAGTCCATCATTTGCTAACAATGTGACCCTATAAAGTTATTTAACTTATTATAAATCTTAGTTATTAATATGACATGCAAAATTTTTATAAGGACTATATAAAATAGTGCATTCAATTTTCTTAGTACATTTTTGGGTACATATTAATTGTACAAAAGGGTAACTATGATTAATATCATCATCATTATCATATTCTCATGATTGTATTACAGGTAAAGAAGCTATGCATGTATGACTAAAGCCAAGACCACAGACAAGAATACAAAGTTCAAAAAATGGACAAAACATGGTCAGGTGCATAAAAGTGATCTTGTATCAAATGGGAAAAGTATTAAGACAGCTGGAAAACTAAGTCTTGTATTTAAAACTTTAAAATTTCATGTTTATGGATGAACTATATAATCCTATTACTTGTGACATTATGTTATATAAATTTTATTTCATATTTTAAGTCATGACATGTAGTAAAGCACAGTTATGGAGAGCCAGAGCTTTGGATTCAGAGTTGTAATTTGACTGCACTACTTACCAGCTGTATGATTCTTTAGCCTCTGTTCTCACATTTGTAAAATGGGAACCATAGGAGCCTACCTCATAGGATTTGTATCCCAATAAATGAATTACTAGTTTTGTGATTGTCAACACACAATTTACCTTTGCTCCCATTTTCTTGCCTGCAAAATAGCTTATAATAATAGTAGCAATTTCAGTCATTTTAATTAATGTATATAAAGTAATATCTAGGACATAATCACCTCCAAATTTGGGGAAATTAGTAGTAGTAGTAGTAGTAGTAGTAGTAGTAGTAGCAGCATTAATGATAGCAGAGAAAAAGGAATTAAAATATGTCTAAGACAGCCCAGCAGGTGGTATTTTTCAATAATTTTCTTGAACTGAATTTCATGTTAAAAAAACAAAATTTTCTGTAGCCATATTAGAGTAATTCATATATACTACCACTTTTTTTAAACTATAAAGAGAAGGTGTCCAAAGTTGCAGAGTTAATGTCAGAGGCAGGGTTGAAACCTGTCTCCAGCTTCCAAAGATAGGTTATTTTTAAGCTTACAATTCTGTTTTTGTATCTAGAGATAGGAATTATTTATATTGAAACATAGATCATATTTAATAATGAAAGCTTAGTTAACAAAGGAAATAATGTTAAATTATACAAATTTTATAGTGATTTTAGCTGGAATATATCAATTTCATTAAATAAGAAATACCAATGCCTCTATAATAAACTCTATAAAAGACAGTCCTTACTTTGGAGAAATCCACATTGCAAACAGAATTAGTTTCCTCTCACTTTCTTCTGAAGGTGCTCCAATAAGCACCATAACTAAGAGGCTGCTTCTTAGTTATGGATAACATAACTAAGAAAAAATAAATAATATTGCTGAATTACATTTTCAGCATAATACAATTGAAGTAAGTTTAAAATCAAGCAGGGGAAACATTTAACACAAATTATAAATAGGAAACCATTTTGAAAGTGAAAAACAAGAAAAATGTGGTTTCCATTTATGAGATGGAATAAGAAAACTGAATAAAGTATAATGAAAATCAATTCATATCATTTGTTACACAAAGAAAATCAGCATACCTTTGGCAGGATTTGCTTCATATCCATATGACGTTTTGTTAAAAATATGATGATCACCAGAAGTAGGTATTATCTTTGAATCTGAAATAGGATGGATCCCTTTAACATGTTCAGCTATTGCTTTACGTTGCTCATAAAATCCAAGTTTCCTTGGGGAGTCTGTCCCCAACATTGTTTCACCATTTTGTAACCCTATATTTTCTTCTCTTTCAGTATGTGCTGGTAGGTTACTCTCTGAGTGTCTCACACTTGTAGCAGGTAGTTCAGCAATTTGTAATAACACTTCCTTCTGATTAGCAGCAGAGGTTTCTGGTAAGGAATTAGATTCAGTGCTACATTGACCCTCTAACCTATATTTCCCGGGAGACATAATTGCACAGGGGACAGTTCCCATAAGTTCTATTGTTGTCTTTGTAACAGCAGCAGGATTGAGAGACATCTGAGAGGTAGAATCATTGTGGCCAAAGTTGTCACAGTGGGATGCCATGCTTCCACTTTTAGAAAATGCATCCGTTTCAGACACAGAATCTTCAGTCAAGGCTAAAAATTCTGAAGGTGTCTGAGCTGTGGTAAGATCAGCAGAAAGCAAAGGAGATTGTAAAGAGCTTCCTGCCCGTTCTGTTACATCCACAGAGCAGGATGGCGAAGCTCTTACTAACACAGGTTCTCTCTCTTGGTACTGTGTAACTTCCAATGAGAATTCAGACTGCTGTACCAGTGAAATAGATTGGCTCTGTAGAACTGGCTTAGAAAATTTATAGTGAGATGAAAAAGATTTAGGGAGTAGCTTCCTTGTTGACTGCTTAACAGAACGGCGAGTTTGGTCTTCTGTGAAACCAGAATCATCCCCTTCACTTTTGCCGGAACTTAGACAATTTATAAAGACATTCTTGTTAGTTGAGTGCTCTTTTTCCCTTTCAAAGTCCTCTGTCAAAGATCTTGTTATCTTCTTATTTCGTGAACTACTAAAACCAACAGAATGTCTTCCCCTGGTCTTAATATGTTCTTCCAAACTCAGTTTCTGCATATTGCTGTGACCAGGTTGAGCACCATTTGAAATACTAAGGTTCTGGTTGGTAGGTTCTTGCTTAGGCTCACTCCCCTTCTTATGGTGGAAGCTAATGGAAGGAGTACGGAATATGCTCCTCCGTTTACCTGTGCTACCTGAGCTTGAGTTAGTGCTGGAAGGAGAGGAACTGTGGACACCAACTGTATTACTGGAAGAAGGTGAAGAAGGAAGAGAATCATGTCTTCTGCTAATACTTCTTCTGAATATTGGCAACCGGGAGACCAGGGTAGATCGTCTTGATCCTGAGTCCCCCATTGGGACTCCAAGGCTTGCACTGTGAAAGCCAACTTAGCAGCCTGAGAAAGGTTAAAACAAAAAGAACATGTCAATAGAATTCAAGTACAAATAATACATTTTAAAACAAAATACTGTTTTTCAAGACACGAAATAGAATTTGGTTTATACTAAAACAATCAATAACAAAAATCTGATACCTAATAAACGTTTTTGAATTTATAAGTAGTAAAAATGATCCAATAACTTGTACTGATATTTTATAGTGATGCAAACATTTTAAGATTAACAAAAATATTTAAAGTTTATTCAAGAGTATTGGCTTTGGAGACACCAGACTTACTACTTATAGCTGTTCCATAATTTTAGTAAACTGTTTATTCTTAACTTTTTATGTTTTTTTTTAGATGCAGTAGGCACGTGACAGACATAATAATTTCTGTCTGGGTAAATGCGCCACCATGAGTCTTGTCAGAGACCACTAGAAGTATTTTCATTTTATACCACATGATTCAACAAGTTCCTGATGGGAGCTCAACAGAATCATAAACAAGACAATGGTATAGCCTGACACCACAATCAGCACTCAAAGAAAAACCAATTGCTATAGACTTTTTTTTCTCTCTTTTTTTTTCTCTCTCTCTTTTTTAAATTTTACTTTAAGTTCTAGGGTATATGTGCACAACATGTAGGTTTGTTACATATGTATTCATGTGGCATGTTGGTGTGCTGCACCCATTAACTCGTCATTTACAATAGGTATTTCTCTTATTGCCATCCCTCCCCCTTCCCCCGACCCCACCACAAGTTTGATTTGGGAAGCTGAGAGATAAGCAGGCCATTGGAAGAAGAAACTAAATCACAAGGATATAACGTAGGGTTACAAACAAGTTAAACTTATGAGAGAACCACAGGTGTCAGTTGAAGAAAATGCTTGAATAAAAACTAAGACAGTTGGTGACGTTGAGAGAAGTGAGAATGCATACTGAGAGAATCAGAAGCATAGAAAATTTATGAACCATATTAATGTCAGTATATTCAGGGTATCAATGGAGAAGATAAAGGAGGAGAAGGACAAGGGTGAAGAGAGGTGGCAGCTACAACTCATCAACTTCGACGTACCAGGTACTTTCCAACAGTTTATCTCTTTCACACCTTGTATTTCTAGAAATAGGTAATAAGACTATGAACATTTTACAACAGAAAAGCAACTTGTGTAATGTCATTCAGCCAATACCTGGCAAAACAGGAATAAAAAACCAAGCCTTATCTAACTACGGGGTAAGCTTATAATCAGCATGGTACATACTACATTCACTAATTAGTCATGAACTCCTACTGCTGAATGAAGGCCCTGCTATGTTTCTACATCAGGGATTCAAACTTGTACAGCAAATATTGTTATTCTAGTGACCACCATTTTTCACTGATTTTTAAACTGTACCCGATTTGGATGCTATTTTATTTATGAGTTTTGCTTAATCCTTCAACTGTAATGCACCCTCTCCCTTTGTAAATTGAATCAGACTCTGTTTCATTTTCTTAGTTTTTACAACCAAAACTACCTGACTAAAAATTAATACTATACAAAATTTAAAATCCTCTATTTTATCATCCTTGTAAATATGAGAATTGATCAAGTAAAATATTCATTTCCTTGAACAAGTATGTGACAAAAATGATGAATATTTGCTTTTAGATATTCATTCATAACTATTTAATATTTTTCTCCAAACAACATAAAATCTGACGTATTTGTATTATAAGATTTTTAGTGGATGATTTTTCACTACAGTCAATGACTTTAATTTTAAAACTTGATTTTATTTTTAATTCACAGATGACAATTGTATATACTTATGAGGTATAATGTGATTTTTGATATGTGTTTATATTATAAAATAATTAAGCAAATTAGCATACCTATCACCTCATATACATACCATTTTTTGTAGTGACAGCATTTAAAATGTACTCCTTTATCCATTTTGAAATATGCAGTACATTATTATTAACTATAGTCACCATGCTGTGTAATCAATCTCTAAAACTTATTTCTCCTGTCTAACTGAAACTCTGTACCCTCTGAACATTATTTCCCCATTCCCCTGGCCCCAACACCCCAGCCCCCGGTCTTACCATCCCGGTCTCTGGTAACCATTCTACTTTCTACGTCTAGGAGTTTAATGATTTAGATTCTACATATAAGGGAGATCATGCAATATTTGTCTGTCTGTGTCTAGGTTATTTCATTGAGCATAATGTCCTCCAAGTTTATCCATGTTGTGACATGTGACAGAATTTCTTTTTTAGGCTGAATAGCATTTCATTATATATATAAACCACATTTTCTTTATCCATTCATCCACAGATGTACACTTAGGTTTGTTGTATATCTTGGCTATCGTGAATAATGATGCAGTAAGCATAGCAGTACAGATATCTCTTTGACATACTGATTTCAATTGTTTGGTTATATATCCAGAAGTAGGATTGCTGGATCATATGATAGTTCTATCTTTAGTTTTGGAGGAACCTCCATACTGTGTTCCACAGAGGCTGTGCTAATTTACATCCCCACCAACAGTGTGCAAGAGTTCCCTTTTCTCCATATGAATTTGAATTTAAATCAAACTATATGTGAACCACTCCCAAAACATTTCAGTATTCTTGTAAGGCTTTGCTTGAAGAAAACCTAAAACATAAACATACATTTTAGCTCTTAAAATTGTTCACAAATAAAAATGTGTGATTTTCCTCACAGCTTAGATTTTCCAAAGTGTATACAATGAATAATACATGTTTTCATGACTATATTCTTTAAAATGTTTCAACTAACATCATTCACAGCCATGATTTTTTCACTTACATGCAACATTTATTTCCATTCAATGCCTATTGAAGAATTTTTCTCTAATTAGAACAGAATCAACCATAATGATTTGCAGCTGGTTGTGAACCTATAGCCTTCAATGCCTGAATGTCAAGATATCAACCATCATTACTGAAATACTCAAAATTTATGTATATTAAATATTTATTGGCCATTTTTGAAGTATTTTCTGCATTTGGAGCAGCATTAAAAGAGTCAGTCCCATATCTCTTTAGCAAGTATTCAAAGGATCTAACTAATGAAAAAAAAATTTTAAACAATTTTATAATCACTCTCGCTCTTAAACACTTAATGAAAACCACCATACTTCCACTGGGCACAAATAATCTATTTAGGTCAGTGATATGTTTGTCCTAATTTCTTTAAGTAAAAACATCATAGATACCAAAAGGTATCTGCACATTATTGAATAACCTGGAGTAGATACAAATCTACTAGAGATAAATATCCTTCACATGTCTTTTATTTTTAACATGAACTCATATTTCCCTTGAGAGCTTCCCAGCTAAATAAGGAGAAAATAGACTATAGATCAGGATTATCCATATTCTTTAGGAAAGCTCTTTAAGGCTTGGATGCTGTCTACATTTCCAGATTCATTACTCTTCTCCTCACACTTCATGATCCATTTACACTGATGACTGTCATTTTCTTATCTTTCTTTCCTTTTCCTTTTCTTTCTTTCTTTGTTTTTTTGTTTTGTTTCGTTTGTTTTTATGTTTTGTTTTGTTTTTGGAGACAAGGTCTTGCTCTGTCACCCAGGCTAGAATGCAGTGGAGAGAACATAGCTAACTGCAGCCTCAAATTCATGTGCTCAAGCTATCCTTCTACCTCAGCCTCCCAAGTAGCTGGGACTACAGGCATACAGCATCATACCCAATTAACTTTTAAAAAAAGTTTCATAGAGACAGAGTCTTGCTATGTTGCACAGGCTGATCTCAAACTCCTGGCCTCAAACAATCCTCCTGCCTCGGTGTCCCAAAGTGTTGGGAGCCCAGGCATGAGCCACTGCACTTGGTCATGACTGCCATTTTCTGATCACTTTCACCTTCAAGACCTTTGAAGATTTAGGTCCACCAGCTTGGGATGCCCTTCCTGTAACTCCAACATGGCAAAAGCCTCCTACTTTAGTTTTGGAGGAACCTCCATACTGTGTTCCACAGAGGCTGTGCTAATTTACATACCCATCAACAGTGTGCAAGAGTTCCCTTTTCTCCATATGAATTTGAATTTAAATCAAACTATATGTGAACCACTCCCAAAACATTGCCCCTTCCAAGTTGCCATCCCCGACACTCTTTCCCTACCTGACAACCCATTCCCACTGTCTCCCATCCTGGAAATGGTACTCCTCCTTTACATTTCCTCAAGTATTAGCTTACATAGTAAGCATCTGTTTGTTTATCTCAAGTTACTATTTTGTCTTAATGACAAAAACCATTTCTCCTTACTTTGATACCCAGTGCCTGAGAAAATATGCAATTTGTACCAACAGAGTACACAGATTTCTATGTTTTAACTTCAACACTTCAGGATTTCAAACCTACATAAACATATTTTCTGTCTCACTGCCATGAATAAATCTTATAATCCTGAGGGTAATTATGCTAAATTACAACTTTTAGAGACTCATATTTATTAAAAGGCTTCCAAACTTTAAAAGTTCAATAATCTGAAATTTGCTAATAAACAGTTGAAAACATGAAAACATAATGCTGAATAAATTTCATGAAATAATATGTCATCACAGCAACTTCAATTATTCACTAAAGATAAATGCAACAACATCATAACTGCTAATTTTATTTCTTTTTACTGCAGTGTTTTTATAACAGTTACCTTTAATCCCTTAGCAAACATTGTATACATTTTTATAAGTTTCCAAATTGGATAAAATAAACATCTTTTCTCAATTCTTATCTAATATTTCTCAATTCAGAAATTATAGTCACTTTCGTAATAATAGGTCTTAAAAATATGAAGGTTGAACTAGACCCATCCATTATCTAGGGGTCTTTACTACCATAAACGTTATTTTATTTTGAAAAAACAAATTTGTTACAGAAGTTTTTTATTATAAATTTAATGATATGTAAATAAACAAAAGGTAAGATTAACTTGAAGACAACACTACTATACCAATGTATATGGGCCCTATTAGAAGTAAAA